AAAACTATAGGTGCTAGAAATATAATCTCTAATTTATCATATTCCTATATTAATTTATCATATTCCTATATAAGTAAAAAGGAAATTTGAAAATTTTAGTGGACAACTATATTTTCTGAAACTATTTTTAAGGTTGGATTTCTTTATCCATTAGTTTGCCTTTGATATTTATTTCATCCCCTTACAGTATTATTCACCCCTGCCACCTACCTGTCCAAGGCTGTTGTAAGAAATTATCTTAAACAACTTTTAGAAGCAGCTGCAGTATTTTCACTCTAGTTAGCAAAGATCTCCCTCATGGTACTATAGCTGGAACAGCAGTAGTAGAAAAGGAATAAAATCTATTCTATTTTTAGATAAAGAATAATATTTCTATTTAATAGAAATCTAAGTTAAAAAACAAAAGGAATTAAAAATATCCATTTGTAAATACTTAACCTTGGTCTATTCTCCTCTAAAGCATTCATACTCCAGGATCTCATCATTTAGGTCTAATTCTTCTGTAACTGTGTCATTCAATTTATGCTACTTTCCTTTTCCACATTCCCTCGAACCCAGAGATTAAGCAAACAGGATAAGTTTTAATCCCTCACATTTTATCTCTATGCATTGTCTACAAATAAAGCAGGTGACTAACATTTTTAAAAATCTAAGAAAAATGTAACAAGAATTATTTCAATTTCTAAAACAACTTTTTCAAATTGAAGAGGTAAAAGCAGTTACATCAAGCTTTAAAAATTCAGAACGAAGCCAGACGTTATGGCACGTGCCTGTAATCCCAACACTTTGGGGGACCACCACCGGCTGATCACTTGAAATCAGGAGTTCAAGACCAGCCTGGCCAACATGGTGAAACCCTGTTTATACTAAAAATACAAAAATTAGCCAGGCATGTTGGCACATACCTGTAATCCCAGCTGAGGCACAAGAAATGCTGAAACCCTGGAGTTGAAGGTTGCAGTGAGCCAAGATCCAGCCTGTGTGACAGAGCAAGACTCTTTCAAAATAAATAAATAAAAATTTCAGAATAAAATGAGGTCAAAGAACAAGGCCAAAGTTTTCTGCACCGTAAAGGTGAAGTGTTGATGATAAGAGAGGCAGAGAGAGCAGGGAATAGGCTTCTGGCTGGGCAGAGTGAGCAAGCACTGACTCCAGAGACCGTCCCTACCTGTCCTTAGTGAAGAAACAGCAGTGGCCCACATGCACTGCCCACTGTATATGATGACACTTCGTGCATCGATTTTTGTAAGGCACCTTGTTTTTTTCTTCGTGGGGACCCTCCAACTTCCTCATGCATACTTTGCTCATTTTCCTCAACTTCGGACGAGGAATTATCTGAGCCATTTCAGAAACTGTAAAGCTCTATGTGCAGCATCCAGGGAAACTGTAAAAGCAAAAACTTCATATTAATGTAAGTTAGTAACATAGCGGGTAGTCACCAGCTTTATCTGTTGACAATTAATAGAGATAAATGTGAGGGATGAGGGTGTTGTTTTTCAAAATGATTGTGTTTGATCTCTGGGCTCTAGGGGTTGTGGAAAAGAAAGGGGGTATAAATTTAATGACACAGTTACAGAAATTGCATCAGATACAAATAAGAAGATGTGATTTCCTAGTTTAAACCCAAAGTAACTACTTCTTCAATTTAATTACAAAATCTCAGAAAATCCAAGTCTGAGAAAGCCTAAGTAGCCCCTGGTTTGAGCATTAGGCATTTTTCTAATGACAAAGTTTCCCTCTAGAAATGAGGGCTCCTGTGCAGAGATCTGCCTGTTCCATGAGCAGCAGCTGCTTCAGACCAGGTGCTCCTCATAACACTGAGACCACAGCCTTTCAATGAAATGTGAAATCAGAAGAAAGAACTGAGTGAGGGAATAGTTTTTTAAAATTTCAGAAAGAAAAGAAAGTTACCCTTATTTGTTCATTATACTTAGTGAAGCATCTAATCTCTCAAACACAAATCTCATTATGTCAGTTACCAACATACTCGGTCAAGGCTTAATACAGGTCATTTCTAGTGTTATTCTCTAAAGAAAAGCAAAAATCGCCTGTTGGAGAGTGTGGGGCTAGGTGAGGGATAGCATTAGGAGAAATACCTAATGTATATGATGGGTTGATGAGTGCAGCAAACCACCATGGCATGTGTATACCTACGTAACAAACCTGCACATTCTGCACAAGTACCCCAGAACTTAAAGTATAATAAAAAATAGAGTAAAAATAAATCAATTATCTCCAAGGAGAAAACAATACAACAAAGTAATTAATGCAAAGGTCTTTGCCACTCATGTGTAAACAAGAGAATGAAACCAACTGGAATGCAATCTCAATCATAATAACTGCAATCAATATAAAACACCTAGGAGTCCATTTAGCCAAAGATGTGAAACATGTATGTAAGGAAATCTATAAAACCCTGAAAAAAGAAATGGAAAAAGACACATGAAAATAAAACCCCATTCATGCTTACAGACTGGCAAAATTAAGATTGTTAATATGTCAAAGTAGTGAAAGCAATGAGCAGATTCAATGCAATTTTTATCAGAATACCAATGATCTTCACAGAAATAGAAAAAAAATCCTAAAATTTCTATGGAGCCACAAAAGATCCTGAATAGTCAAAGCAATTCTGAACCAAAATGATACACAGCTGGAGTTACCACACTACCTGACTTCAAGAAAATACATACAATAGGAAAAGGGCAGTCTCTTCCAGCAATGGTCCTGAAAAAACTAACTTCATGAGACTAGACTTGTATCTCTCACTATAGATGAAAATCAAATGGATTAAATAATTACACTGAAGACCTGAAACTCTCAAGGACTGTGCTGTAGGCAAAGGTTTTTGGTATAAGACCTCAAAAGCACAGGTGACCAAAGCAAAAATAAATGTAATTCTATTATCCTACAAAGCTTTTAGCATGGCAAAAGAAACAACAGAAAAGAGAGGACATACAGAATGGGACACACTATTTGCAAACTCCCCACCGCGCAAGGAATTCAAAAGCTGAATTTATAAGAAGCTCAAACAATTCAATACCAAAAGAAGTCCAGAAAACAGAAAAGAATCTGATTTAAAAATGAACAGAAGATCTAAATAAACATTTCTTGAAAGAAAACACATGGAACTGCTGGAACTGCCCCTGCCAGAACTAAAATTAATATGGCCACGACGAACACCTCTTAGCCAATGTTCCTACATTCATGAATGAGAAAATACATACAAATCAGAGAAAGCCCCAAGATGTCCTCCAAGAAGGTTCTGACATCCCTCACTGTCTCTGGCTCACTGACTGGCTCCCGGGCCAGCGACCAAGGCCTGGACCCCTCCCCCTCAGCTTCCACAGGCACAGGGCAGCAGTCATAGAATCAGTCCCATGTGTGGACACTGACTTGAATGTGGTAGGGCCAGCGCATGTCTCAAGAGCCCCAATTCCAGTACCTGATGAAGGAGTGCTGGGTGTCCATGGGGTAAGATTCATCTCTGGGCTCACTGGAAGGGAGCACAGGCCAGTTGAGTCCTATCTCCTGGCACCAGGAAGGCAGGAAGGGAGGGAAGAAGGACAGTAGGGAGGAAGGAAGTGATGAAGGAAGGAAGGAAGGGAGGAAGCGGGGAGGGAGGGAGGGAGGGAAGGGAAGGAAGGAAATCAAGCAATGAGAGAGACATTGCCGACCTGGATCTAGAGGTTTACAAGTTGATTTCTTTTTTTTTGAGAGAAGGAAAGAAAAAAAAAAATAAGTAAAGGAGAGGAAGAAAGAGGAAGAGAAAGAGGGAGAGTAAATGGAAATATTGCTTTATTTTGAAAAAAATTGAGTATTAATAATGGCCAATCAATGTTTCATTTAAACTTATGGGTGGGTGTGATGTGGTATTGACAAGAATGTATATTTTGTGTATTTGAAGTGGAGAGCTCTATGAATATTTATTAAGTTTACTTATTCCGGATCTGAGTTTGAGTACTTGATACCCTTATTAATTTTCTGTCTCATTGAATCTAAGTCTCGTATCTGGGTGTTAGGATCGTTAGCTCTTGTTGTTGCATTGATCCTTTTACCACTATATCTTTGTTGCTTTAAAATCTATTTTCTCCGATACGAGAATTGCAACTCCTGCTTTTTATTTATTTATTATTTATTTTTGCTCTCCATTTGGTTGGTAAATCTTTCTCCATCCCTTTGTTTGAGTCTTTGTGTATCCTTGCATGTGAAACAGGTCTGGATGTAACATGCCATTGGGTTTTGGCTGTGTCTTTTGATTGAGGGATTTAGTCAATTTAAATTTAGGGTTACTGCCATTTGATGTTGACTGGCTGTTTTATCCATTCGTTGGTGTAAATTCTTCTTTATGTTGGTGCTGTTTACTTTTTGGTGTATTTTTAGAAAGGCTAATACTGGTTGTTTCTTTCTGTGTGTAATGCTTCTTTCAGAAGCTCTTGTAAAGCAGGCCTGGTGGTAATAAAATCTCTGAGTTCTTGCTTGTTCATAAAAGATTTTATTTTTCCTTCAGTTGTGAAGCTTAGTTTGGCTGGATATGAAATTCTGGGCTGAAGGTTCTGTTCTTTGAGAATGTTGAATATTGGCCCCCACTCTCTTCTGGCTTGTAAAGTTTCTGCTGAGAGATCTGCTGTAAGTCTGATAAGCTTGCCTTTGTGGGTAACATGACCTTTCTCTCTGGCTGCCCTTAGTATTTTCTCCTTCGTTTCAACCCTGGTGAATCTAACCATTATGTGCCTTGGGGTTGCTCTTCTTGAGGAATATCTTTGTGGTGTTCTCTGTATTACCTGGGGTTGAATGTTGACCTGCTTTGCTAGTTTAGGAAAATTTTCCTGAATAATATCCTGAAGGGTATTTTCCAGCTTGGATTCATTCTCTCCGTGGCATTCAGGTACACCTATCAAACGTAAATTTGGTCTTTTCACATAGTCCCACATTTCTTGGAGACTTTGCTCATTCCTTTTTATCCTTTTTTCTCTAATCTTTTCTTCACGTTTTATTTCATTAAGTTGGACTTTGACCTCTGATATCCCTTCTTCTGCTTGAACAATTCGAGTGTTTAAACCTGTGCATACTTCTCGGAGTTCCTGTATTGTATTCTTTAGTTCCATTAATTCACTCATATTCCACTCTAAGTTGTCTATTCTCAATAGGATTTCATCAAACCTTTTTTCAAAGTTCCTAGTTTCTTTACGTTGGGCTACAACATGGTCTTTTAGCTCACCGAAGTTTGTTATTATCCATTCCTTGAAGAGTGATTCTGTCATTGGGATGCGCTCGTTCTCCATCAAGCCTTGTTCCATTGTTGATGTGGAACTGTGATCATCTTTAGAGGGAGAGGCGTTCTGACTCTGAGTATTCTCAGCTTTTTTACGCTGGTTTCTTCCTGTCATTGTAAATTTATCCTCCTGTCTCTTTGAAATTACCAACTTTCAGATTAGGTCTCTTGAGTGGGCGTCCAGGTTGTTAGTTCCCAGGGCCAGAGCAGCGGCGTTAAAACTGATGGTGCTTTTCTGCCCAGGATTCTCCTGTCGGGCTTCCTTCTTGTGTCGGTAGTAGGCGACTCTGCCTTCCCGGGGCTCCAAACCTCGGTCAGAAGGGAAACCAGTCCTGTTTACTCTGCGCCGAGCGCACCCGTGCCGAGGTGCCGTCACAGCGGCTGCGCCGGGCTCTGGTGTCCTGCTGGGGACCCGTGCAGGTCCTCCGAACCTGTTTTCTTTGCTCTGAGAGCTGCCGCGCCAAGGTGCCGGCGGAACCGCTGCACCGGCCAGGAGAGTCGCGCTGGCCACCCTTGTGTTCCCTCCACTGGGGGTTCTCCTGCTCCATGAGCGACCAGAATTTGTCTGAAAGTGTGGCGTCCTCTAGTTCTCCGCGCCTTCCCTGAGAGCTGCAATCCCGGGATGTTAGCGATTGGCCATCTTGGATCCATTTTTATTATATTTTTATAGAAAACATCCAATTGTAGTTACTTTAACTCTCAAGTATGGCATCCACTGGACCACCTGAAAATAAGAATTTGGGATCCTACCTCCTACGTTTTTGGTAAAGAAATGGCTGCGTAACTTTTTCTAAAAAGCCTATGAGTGTTTACAGCAGAGGAGATAAAAACAAAAACAGAAGAGGAAATTATATCCTGTAACACTTACAGCTAATGCAGAGAACAAACACAACCTGACCCCTAGCCAGATAAACACAAAACCTCACAGTGAAAGCCAATCTAGCTCAGTTCCTGTTACCTGATGTATTACGTCTAGATTTCAAAGAAAAATGACAAGACATGCTAAAAGACAATTAAAAAGGCAATCCAAAGAGACAAAGGTGGCACTAAAAACAGACTCATGTGGCAGAAGTTTGAGAATTACCAGACCAGGAATTTAAGTATAATTCTATGTGAAAGGTCTACTGGAGAAGTGAGCAAGATGCAAAACAGCGTATGAGAAATGTAAGCAGAAAGAGATTCTAATTTAAAAAATGCTACAATTGAAGACATCATAACAGAAATGAAGATTTTTTTTCCTTTGGAGATGGAGTCTTGCTTTGTTGCCCAGGTTGGAGTGCAGTGGCCTGATCTCGGCTCACTGCAGCCTCTTTCTCCCAGGTTCAAGTCATTCTTCTGCCGCAGCCTCCTTATTAGCTGAAACTGCAGGCTTGCACCACCATGCCCCACTATTTTTTGTATTTTTAGTAGAGATCAGATTTTGCCATGTTGGCTGGTCTCAATGTCCTGATCTCAGGTGATCTGTCCACCTTGGCTTCCCAAAGTGTTGAGATTACGGGTGTGAGCCACCATGTTGGGCCTAAGAATGTTTTTAGTAAGTTCACTGGAAAACTGGACATGGTCAAGAACAGAATCAATAACCTTGAAGATATGTCAATAGACCATTCTCAAACAGAAAGATATGGGAAAAAAGAAACTGAATATTTAGGAACTGTGTGACAATTGTAAAAGGTGTAACATGCATAGTGGGATGATGGGCATTTAGGTTAACTCCATGTCTTTCCAATTGTGAATAGTGCTGCAGTGAACATACACGTGTTTGTCTTTATAATAGAATAACTTATATTCCTTCAGGTATATACCCAGTAATAAACTGGGTCAAATGGTATTTGTTTTTAGTTCTTTGAGGAATCACCACACTGTTTTCCACGATAGCTGAACTAATTTCCACCCCCACCAACAGTGTATAAGAGTTCTTTTTCTCTGCAACCTTGTCAGCATTTGTTACTCTTTGACCTTTGATAATAGCCATTCTGACTGGTGTGAGATGGTATCTCATTGTGGTTTTGATTAGCATTTCTGTAATGATCAGTTATGTTGAACATTTGAAATATGATTTTTGGTTGCATGAATGTTTTCTTTTGAAAAGTGTCTGTTCATGTCATTTGCCCACTTTGTGTTTTTTGGTTTTGATTTTTGTTTTGTAAATTTGTTAAGTTCCTTATAGATGCTGGATATTAGACCTTTGCCGGGTCTATAGTTTGCAACAGTTTTCTCCCATTCAGTAGGTTGTCTTTTCACTCTGTTGACATTTTTCTTTTCTGTTCAGAAGCCCTTTAGTTTAATTAAATCCCATTTGCCAATTTTTGCTTTTGTTGCAATTGGTTTTGGCATCTTTGTCATGAATTCTTGGCCCATTTCTATGTCCAGAATGGTATTGGTTATGTTGTCTTCTGGGCTTTTATAGTTTTGGGTTTTACATTTAAGTGTTCTATGCATCTTAATTTTTGTGTATGATGTAAGAAAGGGGTCCAGTTTCAATCTTCTGTAAATGGCTAGCCAGTTATCTCAGTAACATTTATTAAATACAGGATGTTTTCCCTATTGCTTTGCTTGTGTTTTTTTTTTTAATGGGCAACAGTCTTGCTGTGTTGCCCAGACTGGAGTGCAGTGGCATCCATTGTTTACTTTTATCAGGTTTGTCCAAAATCAGATAATTGTATAGTTGCAGGTGTGCAGCCTTATTTCTAAGTTTTCTATTCTGTTCCATTGGTGTATGTATCTGTTTTTGTTTCAGTACCATGCTGTTTTGGTTATTGTAGCCTTGTACTCTAGTTCGCAGTTAGGTAGCATGATGCCTTTAGCTTTGTTCTTTTGCTTGAGATAGCCTTGGGTGTTCAGGATATTTTTTGGATCTATCTGAATTTTAAAATAGTTTTTTTCTGGTTCTGTTAAGCATGTCATTGGTAGTTTAACAGGAATAGCATTGAATCTATAAATTGTTTTGGGCAGTATGGCCATTTTTACAATATTGATTTTTTTCCTATATTAAGCATGGAATGTTTTTCCATTTGTTTGTGTTGTCTAATTTTTTAAGCAGCATTTTATATTTCTTCTTGTACAGATCTTTCAAATTCCTAGTTAGCTGTATTCCTGGAAATAATTTTTTTTGTGTGTGGCAGTTCTGAGTGGAATTGTGTTCTTTATTTGGCTCTCAGCTTGACTGTTGTTGGTATGTGGCAATGTTATTTTCACAGAGTGATTTTGTATCCTGAGACTTTACTGAAGTTGTGGTCAGCTTCAGAAGCTTTTGGGGTGAGAATATGGGATTTGTTAAGCATAAGATAATGTTATCTGCAAACAGGGATAGTTTGACTTCCTGTCTTTCTATTTGCATGCCCATTATTTTTTTCTCTTGCCTGATTGCCCTGACCAGGACTTCCAATACTATGTTGAATAGGAGTGGTGAGAGAAGGCATCCTTGTCTTGTACCAGTTTTCAAAGGGAATCCTTCCCACTTTTGCCAATTCAGTATGATATTGGCTATGCATTTGTTGTATATGGCTGTTATTATTTTGAGGTATGTTCCTTCAATATCTAGTTTATTGAGAGCTTTAATTATGAAGGGTTGTTGAATTTTATTGAAGGCCTTGTCCGCTCTATTTGGATAATAATGTTGTTTTTGTCTTTAGTTCTGTTTATATGATAAATCACATTTATTGATTTCCATATGTTAAACTAACCTTGCATCCTGGGGATAAATGCTACTTGATTGTGGTGGATAAACTTTTTGATGTGCTGCTGGATTTAGTTTGCCAGTATTTTGTTAAGGTTGAGGTTTTTACATTAATGTTCTTCAAAAATATCAGCCTGAAGTTTTCTTCTTTTGTTCTGTCTTTGCCAGATTTTGGTAAGAGGATGATGCTGGCTTCAGAGACTGTGTCAGGGAGCAGTCCCTTCTCAAGTTTTTGGAAGAGTTTAAGCAGTAATGGAACTAGCTGTTATTTGTACTCTGGTAGAATTCAGCTGTGAATTTGTGTTGTCCTGTGGTGCTTTTTGGTTGGTAAGGTATTACTCAATTTCAGAACTCATTGTTTGTTTGTTCAAGCTTTGAATTTATTCCTGGTTCAATCGGGGAAGGGTGTATGTGTCCAGGAATTTATCCATTTCCTCTAGATTTTCAAGTTTATATGCATAGAGGCATACATAATATTCTCTAATGGTTGATTATATTTCTGTGGAATCTGTGATAATATCCCCCTTTTCATTTTCTATTGTGTTTATTTTAATCTTCTCTCTTTTTTACTTTATTTGGCTAGCTCATGGTCTACTTTATTAATTTTTTTTAAAAACCACCTCCTGGATTTCTTGATCTTTTGAATGTTTTATCATGTCACAGATTTCTTCAGTTCAGCTCTAATTTACTTTTCATTTTCTGCTAACTTTGGGATGTGCTGTTGGTTCTCTCATTATTTTAGTTGTGATGTTAGACTGTTAATTGAGATCTTTCTTTTTGATGTTGACATATAGTGTTATAAATTTTCATTGTAGCACTGCCTTAGCTGTATCTTAGAGACTCTGGTATGTTTTATCTTTGTTCTTATTAGTTTCAAAAAACGTCTTGACTTCCCTGAATTTTATTATTTGCCCAAAAGTCTTTCAGGAGCAGATTATGCAATTTTCATGTAATTATATAGTTTTGAGTGGATTTCTTAATCTTGATTTTTAGGTTGGTTGTGCTGTGATTCAAGAGATTGTTACAATTTCAGTTCTTTGCATTTTCTGAGGAGTGTCTTTCTTTTGATTATGTCATTAATTTTACAGGATATAACATGTGGCTCTGAGAATAATTTCTATTTTGTTTGTTTGTGGTGTACAGTTCTGTAGATATCAATCAGGTCCTTGTGATCCAGTGCTGAGTTTAAGTCCTGAATATCTTTTTTCATTTTCTGTCTCAATGATCTCATATTGTCAGTATGGTATCAAAGCCCCCTTCTATTACTGTGTAGAAGTCTAAGTCTCTTGGAAGGTCTTTAAGAACTTGCTGGGCCAGGTGTGGTGGCTCACACCTGTAATCCCACCTCTTTGGGAGGCCAAGGTGGCCAGATCACCTGAGGTCAGGAGTTCGAGACCAGCCTGATCAACATGAAGAAACACCGTCTCAAGTAAAAATATAAAATTAGCCAAGGGTGATGGCACATGCCTGTAATCTCAGCTACTCAGGAGGCTGAGGCAGGAGAATCTCTTAAACTTGGGAGGTGGAGGTTGCAGTGAGCTGAGATCGTGCCATTGCACTCCAGCCTGGGTAACAAGAGTGAAACTCCATCTCAAAAAAAAAAGAAAAAGAACTTGCTTTATGAATCTGGATGCTTCTGTGTTGGGTGCATATATATTTAGGATAGTTAGATATCCTTATTGAATTGACTCTTCTACAAGTATATAATGTTCTTCTTTTTTTTTTTCATCTTTGGTGGTTTAAAATCTGTTTTCTCAGAAACTAGAATTAACCTTTGCTTTTTTTTCTTTGGCTTTTTATTTACTTGGTAGATTTTCCTTCATCCCTTTATTTTTAGCTTACGTGTGTCATTGTGTGTGAGATGGGTATCTTGAACACAGCATACCAATGGGTTTTGGTTCCTTATCCATCTTGCCACTATGTGTCTTTTAATTGGGGCATTTAGCCCATTTTCATTTAAGATCAGTATTGAAATGTATGATTTTTGATCCTGCCATCATGATGTTGGCTGTTTATTTTGCTGTCTTGTTTATGTGGGTGCTTTATAGTGTCACTGATCTACGTACTTCAGTGTGTTTTTGTAGTAGCTTCTCTTCATATTAGGTACTTTTTTCAGGAGCTCTTGTAAGGCAAGTCTGGTGGTAATAAATTCCCTCGGCATTTACTTGTCTTAAAAGAATTTCTTTTTTTTTCTTTTTTTGCCTATGAATCTTAGTTTTGCTGAATATAAAGTTCTGGTTTGGAATTTCTTTTCTTTAAGAATACTGAATATTGGTCCCCAATCTCTTTCAGCTTGTAAGATTTCTGTTGAAATGTCCAGTTTTAGTTTGATGGGCGTCCCTTAGTAGGTTACCTGACCTTTCTCTCCAACTGCCTTTAACAGGTTTCCTTTTATTTCAGCTTCAAAGAATCTGATGATTATGCATCCTAGGGATAATCTTGTTTCAGTGCATCTTACTGGGCTTTTCTGCATTTATTGAATTTGAATGTTGGCCCTCTAGCTAGGTTGGGAAAGTTCTCATGGCTTATATCCTAAAATATGTTTTCCAAATTGTTTCAATTCTCCCCATTTTTTTAATAAATTCATTTTTTAGAAATTTTTTATTGCATTTTAGGTTTTGGGGTACATGTGCAGAATATGCACGACAGTTGCATAGGTACACACATGGCAGTGTGTTTTGCTTCCTTTCTCCCCTTCACCCACATTTGGCATTTCTCCCCAGGCTATCCCCTCCCCAGCTCCCCCCTCACTGGCCCTCCCCTTTCCCCCCAATAGATCCCAGTGTTTAGTACTCCCCTCCATGTGTCCATGTGTTCTCATTTTTCATCACCCACCTATGAGTGAGAATATGCAGTATTTCATTTTCTGTTCTTGTGTCAGTTTGCTGAGAATGATGTTCTCCAGATTCATCCATGTCCCTACAAACGACATGAACTCATCATTTCTGATTGCTGCATAATATTCCATGGTGTATATGTGCCACATTTTCCCAATCCAGTCTATCACCAATACGCATTTGGGTTGATTCCAGGTCTTTGCTATTGTAAACAGTGCTGCAATGAACATTCGTGTGCATGTGTCCTTATAGTAGAACAATTTATAGTCCTTTGGATATATACCCAGTAATGGGATTGCTGGGTTAAATGGAATTTCTATTTCTAAGGCCTTGAGGAATCGCCACACTGTCTTCCACAATGGTTGAACTAATTTACACTCCCACCAACAGTGTAAAAGTGTTCCTTTTTCTCCACATCCTCTCCAGCATCTGTTGTCTCCAGATTTTTTAATGATCACCATTCTAACTGGCGTGAGATGGTATCTCAATGTGGTTTTGATTTGCATCTCTCTGATGACCAGTGATGATGAGCATTTTTTCATATAATTGTTGGACTCATATATGTCTTCTTTTGAAAAGTGTCTGTTCATATCCTTTGCCCATTTTTGAATGGGCTTGTTTTTTTTTCTGTAAATCTGTTTGAGTTCTTTGTAAATTCTGGATATCAGCCCTTTGTCAGATGGGTAAACTGCAAAGATTTTTTCCCATTCTGTTGGTTGCTGATTCACTCTAGTGACTGTTTCTTTTGCCGTGCAGAAGCTGTGGAGTTTCCTTAGGTCCCATTTGTCTATTTTGGCTTTTGTTGACAATGCTTTTGGTGTTTTGGTCATGAAGTCCTTGCCTACTCCTATGTCCTGAATGGTTTTGCCTAGATTTTCTTCTAGGGTTTTTATGGTGCCAGGTCTTATGTTTAAGTCTTTAATCCATCTGGAGTTAATTTTAGTTTAAGGTGTCAGGAAGGGGTCCAGTTTCTGCTTTCTGCACATGGCTAGCCAGTTTTCCCAACACCATTTATTAAACAGGGAATCCTTTCCGCATTGCTTGTTTCTGTCAGGTTTATCAAAGATTGTATGGTTATAGACATGTTGTATTGCCTCCGATGCCTCTGTTGTGTTCCATTGGTCTATATCTCTGTTTTGGTACCAGTACCATGCTGTTTTGATTACTGTAGCCTTGTAGTATAGTTTGAAATCCGGTAGTGTGATGCCCCCCGCTGTGTTCTTTTTGCTTAGAATTCACTTGGCTATGCGGGCTCTCTTTTGGTTCCATATGAAGTTCATGGTGGTTTTTTCCAGTTCTGTGAAGAAAGTCAATGGTAGCTTGATGGGGATAGCGTTGATTCTGTAAATTACTTTGGGCAGTATAGCCATTTTCACGATATTAATTCTTCCTAACCATGAACATGGAATGTTTCTCCATCTGTTTGTGTCCTCTCTTATTTCGTTAAGTGGTGGTTTGTAGTTTTCCTTGAAGAGGTCCCTTACGTTCCTTGTGAGTTGTATTCCTAGGTATTTTATTCTTTTAGTAGCAATTGTGAATGGCAGTTCGTTCTTGATTTGGCTTTCTTTAAGTCTGTTATTGGTATATAGGAATGCTTGTGATTTTTGCACATTGATTTTATATCCTGAGACTTTGCTGAAGTTGCTTATCAGTTTCAGCAGTTTTTGGGCTGAGGCAATGGGGTCTTCTAGGTATACTATCATGTCATCTGCAAATAGAAACAATTTGGCTTCCACCTTTCCTATTTGAATACCCTTTATTTCTTTTTCTTGCCTGATTGCTGTGGCTAGAACTTCCCGTCCTATATTGAATAGGAGTGGTGAAAGAGGGCATCCTTGTCTAGTGCCAGATTTCAAAGGGAATGCTTCCAGTTTTTGCCCATTCAGTATGATATTGGCTGTTGGTTTGTCATAAATAGCTTTTATTACTTTGAGATACATTCCATCGATACCGAGTTTTATTGAGGGTTTTTAGCATAAAGAGCTGTTGAATTTTGTCGAATGCCTTATCTGCGTCAATTGAGATAATCATGTGGTTTTTGTTTTTGGTTCTGTTTATGTGGTGAATTACGTTTATAGACTTGTGTATGTTGAACCAGACTTGCATCCCCAGGATAAATCCTACTTGATCATGATGGATAAGTTTTTTGATTTGCTGTTGTAGTCGGCTTGCCAATATTTTATTGAAGATTTTTGCATCTATGTTCATCATGGATATTGGCCTGAAGTTTTCTTTTCTTGTTGGGTCTATGCTGGGTTTTGGTATCAGGATGATATTGGTCTCATAAAATGATTTGGGAAGGATTCCCTCTTTTTGGATTATTTGTAATAGTTTCAGAAGGAATGGTACCAGCTCCTCTTTGTGTGTCTGGTATAATTCGGCTGTGAACCCATCTGGATCCAGGCTTTTTTTGTGTGGTAGGCTCTTAATTGCTGCCTCGACTTCTGACCTTGTTATTGGTCTATTCATAGTTTCAGCTTCCTCCTGGTTTAGGCTTGGGAGGACACAGGAGTCCAGGAGTTTATCCATTTCTTCCAGGTTTACTAGTTTATGTGCGTAGAGTTGTTTGTAATATTCTCTGATGATGGTTTGAATTTCTGTGGAATCTGTGGTGATTTCCCCTTTATCATTTTTTATTGCATCTATTTGGTTGTTCTCTCTTTTCTTTTTAATCAGTCTGGCTAGTGGTCTGTCTATTTTGTTGATCTTTTCAAAAAACCAGCTCTTGGATTTATTGATTTTTTGAAGGGTTTTTCGTGTCTCTATCTCCTTCAGTTCAGCTCTGATCTTAGTTATTTCTTGTCTTCTGCTGGGTTTTGAGTTTTTTTGATCTTGCTCCTCTGGCTCTTTCAATATTGACGATAGGGTGTCAATTTTGGATCTCTCCCATTCTCCTCATATGGGCACTTATTGCTATATATTTTCCTCTAGAGACTGCTTTAAATGTGTCCCAGAGATTCTGGCATGTTGTGTCTTCGTTCTCATTGGTTTCGAAGAACTTCTTTATTTCTGCCTTCATTTCATTGTTTATCCAGTCAACATTCAAGAGCCAGTTGTTCAGTTTCCATGAAGCTGTGCAGTTCTGGGTTGGTGTCTGAATTCTGAGTTCTAACTTGATTGCACTATGGTCTGAGAGACTGTTTGTTATGGTTTCAGTTGTTTTGCATTTGCTGAGGAGTGCTTTACTTCCAATTATGTTGTCAATTTTAGAGTAGGTGTGATGTGATGCTGTGAAGAATGTATATTCTGTGGATTTGGGGTGGAGAGTTCTGTAAATATCTATCAGGTTTGCTTGCTCCAGGTCTGAGTTCAAGCCCTGGATATCCTTGTTAATTTTCTGTCTGGTTGATCTGTCTAATATTGACAGTGGAGTGTTAAAATCTCCCAATATTATTGTGTGTGAGTCTAAGTCTCTTTGTAAGTCATTAAGAACTTGCCTTATGTATCTGGGTGCTCCTGTATTGGGTCCATATATGTTTAGGATCGTTAGCTCTTCTTGTTTTATCGATCCTTTTACCATTATGTAATGGCCTTCTTTGTCTCTTTTGATCTTTGTTGCTTTAAAGTCTATTTTATCAGAGATGAGAATTGCAACTCCTGCTTTTTTTTGCTCTCCATTTGCTTGGTAAATCTTCCTCCATCCCTTTATTTTGAGCCTTTGTGTATCCTTGCATGTGAGATGTGTTTCCTGGATACAGCACACTGATGGGTTTTAGATTTTTATCCAATTTGCCAGTCTGTGTCTTTTGATTGGTGCATTTAGTCCATTTACATTTAGGGTTAATATTGTTATGTGTGAATTTGATACTGCCATTTTGATGCTAGCTGGCTGTTTTGCCCGTTAGTTGATGTAGATTCTTCATTATGTTGATGCTCTTTAGCATTTAGTGTGATTTTGGAATGGCTGGTACTGGTTGTTCCTTTCTATATGCAGTGCCTCTTTCAGGAGCTCTTGTAAAGCAGGCCTGGTGGTGACAAACTCTGAGTACTTGCTTGTTCGCAAAGGATTTTATTTTTCCTTCACTTCTGAAGCTCAGTTTGGCTGGATATGAAATTCTGGGTTGAAAGTTCTTTTCTTTAAGGATGTTCAATATTGGCCCCCACTCTCTTCTGGCTTGTAGAGTTTCTGCCAAGAGATCTGCTGTGAGTCTGATGGGCTTCCCTTTGTGGGTGACCCGACCTTTCTCTCTGGCTGCCGTTAGTATTTTCTCCTTTATTTCAACCTTGTTGAATCTGACGATTATGTGCCTTGGGGTTGCGCTTCTTGTGGAATATCTTTGTGGTGTTCTCTGTATTTCCTGCATTTGAGTGTTGGCCTGTCTTGCTAGGTGGGGGAAATTTTCCTGGATAATGTCCTGAAGAGTATTTTCCAGCTTGGATTCATTCTCTTCGTCATGTTCTGGTACACCTATCAAACGTAGGTTAGGTCTCTTCACATAGTCCCACATTTCTTGGAGACTTTGTTCATTCCTTTTTGCGCTTTTTTCTCTGATCTTGGTTTCTCATTTTATTTCATTGAGTTGATCTTCGACTTCTGATATTCTTTCTTCTGCTTGGTCAATTAAGCTGTTGAAACTTGTGCATGCTTCGTGAAGTTCTCGTATTGTGTTTTTCAGCTCCTTTAATTCATTCATATTCCTCTCTAAGTCATCCATTCTTGTTATCATTTCCTCAAATCTTTTTTCAAATCTTTTTTCAACGTTCTTAGTTTCTTTGCATTGATTTAAAACATGTTCTTTTAGCTCACAAAAGTTTCTCATTATCCACTTTCTGAAGTCTAATTCCATCATTTCGTCACAGTCATTCTCCATCCAGCTTTGTTCCCTTGCTGGTGAGGAGTTTTGGTCCTTTCTAGGAGGCGAGGTGTTCTGGTTTCGGGTGTTTTCCTCCTTTTTGCGCTGGTTTCTTCCCACCTTTGTGGATTTATCCACCTGTCGTCTGAGTAGTTGCTGACTTTTCGATTGGGTCTCTGAGTGGATGCCCAGATTGTTGATGATGAAGTATTTCTGTTACTTGGTTTTCCTTCTACCAGTCTAGCCCCTCCACTGTACGACTGTTGAGGTCCATTCCAGGCCCTGCTTGTCTGGGGTACACCTATAGCAGCTGTGGAGCAGTGAGGGATGCTACCAGTTTCTTTTTCTGCTATCTTTGTCCCAGAATGATGCCTGCCAAATGTCAGTCTTTTGGATATAGAGGGGACAGGGAGCTGCTTGAGGAGACAGTCTGTACTTTATAGGAGCTCAAGTGCTGAGCTGTGAGCTCTGTTGTTCATTCAGGGCTGTTAGGCTGCTACGTTTAATTCTGCTGCAGCAGAACTCATAAAAAAAAAAACTTTTTTTCTCAGATGCTCTGTCTCGGGGGGTTGGGGCTTTCTTTGTGAGTGTCCGTTGTGCTGTCCTGCCCAGCTAGGAGGCAGTCTAGTCACTATTTGCCTGCTGAGGCTCAGCCCTGCTGGTGTGAGGTTTGCCCTGTTGCTGCATGCTCTGCTGTGCTGCTCCTGTCTCCGCCCTGCAGCGGAGTCTCTCTGTTGTGGCGGGTTGCCTCGGCAATGGCAGGCTGCGTCAGCAATGGGCGTGTACCTCAGTAGGAGCGGATTGCCTCGGTAATGGCGGATGCCCCTCCCCCACGGAGCTGCACTGTCCTGGGTTCAGCTGTGCCCGCACCCGGAGTGTTTGGAATCACCATTTTGTTTGTCCCACTGCGCTACCCCAAACGCTGCTTCCCTGGAATCTCCTGGCCTGGCTCGCTGTCCAAGTCCCGTTCAGTCTCAATTTCAGCCCTCTCAAGTCTTAGATTGCCGGTTCAACAGGGCACCTGGACCAGTGTGCTTTGTGCGGAGCGCTGTGGAGCACCGCTATGCTACAGTGCCGGCCGCCAGCTGCACCAGCTGCCAGCTGCACCAGCCAAAACATCTGCCTGGCGTCCCACGTCTCTTTTATACCTGGGAATTTCCCCGTTCTGTGGGCAACAAAGATCCGTCTGGAAATGCAGCCCTGACTCACCCTCCGTGCATTCACTGAGAGCTTCAATCCTGGGTTGTTCTCACCACGCCATCTTAAGTCCCTCCTCAGATTCATTTTTTAAACATAATCTTTTATTTCCCGGATTTTTTTGTTCCTTTTAATTTTTTTCCCTCTATTGTTGTCCGTCTCATTTCAGAAAGCTAGTCTTTCAGCTCTGAGATTCTTTTCTCCACTTGGTGTATTATATTAATATATTGCATATATTATAATGTAATCACTTGCTATTAATGCTTGTGATTACATTATAAAATTATTGCAATGAGTTTTTAAGCTCTATCACATCAGTTATGTTCTTTCTTATACTGACTATTTTCTTTGTCAGCTCCTGCTGTTTTGTCATGATTTTTAGCTTCCTTGCATTATGTTTCTATGTATGCCTGTAGCTCAATGATCTTCATTTCTATGCATGTAGCTTGGTTTAGAACCCTTCCTGGAGAACTGACACAGTCATTTTGAGGAAAGAAAGCACTCTAGCTTTTTGAGTGTTTAGGGTTCTTGCACTGAAACTTTCTCATCTTTGTGGGTTTATCTACAGTTAGTCTTTGAGGTTGCTGACCTTTGGATGGGCATTTCAAAATTTTATTGTATTTGATGGCCTTTAGAATTTCATTGTGGTAGAATGTGGATTCAGCCAACTTGTTATGTTTCTGGAAGATTTTAGGGGGCTAGCCCTCAGCTCCAAAATCTTGGACTTTGTGCTCTCTAGGAGACTTGTATTGGACCCCAATGTTATTTTCTAGCTCCTGGAGGTTTGGAATATGCTGCTGCATCGGGTGCAGGTGTGAAGTGCAGCAGCTTCAGCAGAGTGCTAGTGGGTGCTGAGGTGCCTGCCGTGCTGTAGGCACTCACTATAATCGTGGAGGCAACACATTTGGGGGTTTACTGCAGACTGTGTGTGCCATTGTGCTGGAGATAGTGTTTGCTCAGGGCCAAGGTGCTGGTGATACAGATCTGGGTGCCTAATCTGTGCCCCACAAGTATGAGTGATTACTCAGGGGGAGGATCCGCTGTTCTCTGTGTAGTGTTAGTGCAAGGATAGGGTGCTAGTGTGAGTGGGTTTGCTGGCTCTGTGCCTGCCAAGGCTAAATCTGCAATGGTGGTTGGTGAGGGAGTGCACGAGGGTGGACTGTACTCCTGTGCTGGTGGGCAATGAAAGTAAAACCTGCCCATACAGACATGTACCAGAAAAGTGATGTGGGAAGCTACCATGGCCCCAAGGGAAGTTGCAGTATAGGGAAGAAACAGACAAGCTTGTATGTGGTCATAGGGGCCATCTCACTGGAGCTCTTCACCTTTCGGGCATAGTGCATCAGTGCAAAAGCTATGGTGTGGGCCCCCAAGGACACCCAAGGCTGCTCTGCAAGCAGGCATGGCCAGGCTGGGGCCCCAGGAAAGGCCAGCAGACCATGGGATGCTCAGGTCAGACCAGTGCCATCTGATAGGCAAGACTGCCCTGCAGAGATCTGATCTAACAGTTCACCAGGGCTGCTAAAGTCTCCTACTAGAGCAAGTTGAGCCTATGGGGATGGTTGTCCAAGTCCACACTTTGCTACAGATGCTTCTGCTTCAAACCCTCTGGGCTCTACATCAACTGGCTTGCTATCCCTACCAAGTAGGTGTTGCAGCTCTAAGGGGCAGTAGCTCTCCTTGCCAACTCAAGTGTCCCTGGTGATCAAGGGGTCTCTTCCTGGGGTTCCAGAGGCCTATAGCGAGAGTGGGTTGCTTCTTCCCAGTTCAACTCACTCGTTCTCTTGGAGCTGTTGAGGTACAAAAATGAGTCTTAATGTATAGTACACCTATGCATTGTTCCCAGCTTTCTCCCCCTTAAGCCCAGCTTCTGTGTCTTCCTTCTGTCCACTCTCAACACTTTCCCTCATACCTGTCATCTCAGTCCCTTGGTGGGAGCTGTTCTACCTCGCTGATCTAGTTCACCATCTTGCCCTCCCCTGCTTCTTTTTAAAATAAAGAAAAAATGACTATCATTAATCATACTGTTACCTTTAATACTAAGGTAAATGCTATAAAATTGAAGTTATTCAAATCTAAATATTTTTGACAGAAATTATATCCTTATTTCTGGAAAACCTCTTATTGTCCTGATAGACAATTAATTTTGTTATCATTACTTTTGATGCCTTTATGAAACTAAATGCTTCCTTGAGTCTCCAGTCTTTTGTCAAGAACATTAACATCATTCTTTTATGAGGAATGAAAGTATATTTTAATTTACCTAACTTCTAAGTCTATTATGTCAAAAATTATCATGAAAAATTAATAAATTAATATTGTAAGAGTGATACATTTAGAGTATGGGCTTCCGTATAAAGATCATGTACACTTCTCATTGGATAACTTTCATCCTTTTTTTTTTTTTTTGAGACAGAGTTTGCTCTTGTTGCCCCAGCTGGAGTGCAATAGCATGATCTCGGTTCACTGCAACCTTTGCCTCCTGGGTTTAAGCAATTCTCCTGCCTCAGCTTCCAGAGTAGCTGGGATTATAGGCTTGCACCACAATGCCCTGCTAATTTTTTGTATTTTTAGTCCAGACAGCGTTTCTCTAGATTGGTCAGGCTGGTCTCAAACTCCCAACATCAGGTTATCTGCCCACCTCTACCTCCCACAGTGCTGAGATTACAGGCATAAGCTGCACCCAGCTGGATAATTTTCAAAGTCTTTGACATGAATATTGAAATAAAAAAGGTTTAATAAATATGAAGAAAAGGAAGAAAAAATAGAAAATTTAGTATAGTTTCTTAGAAATATAAAATCCTTGGTTAAGGCTTGGAATTGAAAAAAAAAGAAATATAAAATCCTTGTAGATATTTATTTATAATTTGTATCTTATTAATTGCTAAGAAGAGTATTAGGGCTAGTCTTTAAAATTCTATTAAAGTATATTATACTTATATTAAAATTACAAGTTATAATTATATGGTTTGATAAATGTTACAAAATTCTGCCTCATACCTACATAATCAGCCCTTAGTTCAAGAAAGGTACATTTTCTACCTGGCTGGAATGACCAGAAGGGAAGGTGGATCAGTGCTTTTAATCAGCTTAAAATGGCTTGTTTCACAATTGTGAATGGGAAGATGGGGAAAGGGGTCAGCTTCAAAGATGTGGCAGGAATGCACGAAACCAAGCTGGAATGCAAGAGTTTGTGGATTATCTCAGAGCCCAGAGCGCTTCCTCCAGCTTGGCGCCAAGGTCCCAAAGCGTGCGCTGCTGCTCGGGCCCCCTACCTGTGGGAAGACCATGCTGGCCAAGGTGGTAGCCACAGAGGCCCAGGTGCCCTTCTTGGCAATGGCTGGCCCGGAGTTCGTGGAGGTCGTTGGAAGGCTTGGTTGCTGCCCATGTGTGGAGCCTCTTCAAAGAAGCCCGAGCCCAGGCTCCCTGCATCGTCTACATCGATGAGATAGACGCGGTGTGCAAGAAGCGCTTGACCACCACGTCCGGCTTCTCCAACACCGAGGAGCAGACGCCCAACCAGCTTCTGGTGGAAATGGATGGAATGGGCACCACAGACCATGTCATCGTCCTGGCGTCCATGAACCAAGCCAACATTTTGGTCTGTGCTCTGATGAAGCCAGGTCGACTGGACTGGCACATCTTCATTGATCTTCCCACGCTGCAGGAGAGACAAGAGATTTTCGAGCAGCACCTGAAGAGCCTGAAGCTGACCCAGGCCAGCACCTTTTACTAGTAGCGTCTGGCAGAGCTGATTCTAGGATCCAGATGTTGCTGACATCGCCAACATCTGCAATGAGGCTGCGCTGCACTTGTCACGGGAGAGACACACGTCCGTGCACACACTCAGCTTCGAGTACGCCGCGGAGCGCGTCCTTGCAGGGACTGCCAAAAAGAGCAAGATCATGTCTAAGGAAGAACAGAAAGTGGTCGCATTTCACGAGTCGGGCCATGCCTTGGTGGGCAACCGCTGGAGCACACAGAGGCCGTGAAGAAGGTCTCCATAGCGCCTCAGACAAACGCCGCCCTGGGCTTTGCTCAGATGCTCCCCAGAGACCAGCACCTCTTAACCAAGGAGCAGCTGTTTGAGCGAATGTGCATGGCCCTTGGGGGCCGGGCGTGGGAAGCGCTGACCTTCAACCGGGTCACTTCCGGGGCACAGGATGACCTGAGGAAGGTCACCCGCATTGCCTACTCCATGGTGAAGCAGTTTGGGATGGTACCTGGCATCGGGCTCATCTCCTTCCCTGAGACACAGGGGGGCCTCATGGGCATCTGGCAGCTCCCCTTCAGCCAAGGCCCGCAGCAGATGATGGATCATGAAGCAAGACTGCTGGTGGCCAAGGCCTACAGACACACCGAGAAGGTGCTGCAGGAGCTGGCAAATGCCCTTCTGGAAAAGGAAGTGATAAACTATGAGGACATTGAGGCTCTCATTGGCCCACCGCCCCATGGGCCGAAGAAAATGATCGCACCATAGAGGTGGATCGACGCCCAGAGGGAGAAGCAGGACTCTGGAGAGGAGGAGGCGGCGGAAGAGCCCAGCAGCCTCTGCTTCGAGGCAAAGAGCCAGCTTGACCAAAGTAGTTGGGACATGTTGGCCGCACGTGATCCAAGAAGTGAGCAGCTCACTCAGCCGCCCCACGTTTCTTTTCAAATGAGCTTTGCACTTGCCTTGGGGCTCTCAATAGTCTCTGCACCCTCAGTAGTCTCTGTGCAGCGGCTTCTGAGATCTCTTTATTGATTACCCTTTTCATGACTGTAAATTTCTTTGCGGAAATGACTGACTGAGCCTTGTGTTTGTGCATCGTTTCCCCCATGGGGAAGGTTATTAGTGCTTTCCCAAGTGAGCATGGGACACCTCGAGTTCCCAGGGTTACCGACACAGTCTTTCCCACTGTGGCTGAGGCCACCCAGAGGCCGCACAGCATTAAGAACCCTGTTCATGCTGACGCCTGCACTGCCTTTCCAGTTCCCATGGCTCCCTCCGAATGCTAAGGGGATCGGACATGAAAGGACCCGCTCAGCCGATCGTCCTGTCTCCAGCGGCTCTGTCATGGAGCTCACTCATCAATGAGGCCACACAAGCCCAGAAACTGGACTCTAGAGGACTCAACACTGCCACCTGCTGCCATGTGGAGAGGTACAAGCTGAGGACTTCTCGCTGGTCTAGTTATGCAGTGTTGGGATGCCTTGGTTTTTATTGCCCTGAGAATTGTTGAGACACTTCACTAATAAACTCTGTGGTTGGAAAAACCTAAAAACAAACAAAAAAAAAAGGAATAAAGAAAAGTAAGAAGGAAGGAACAAAAAAAAGAAAGTAAAAATAAAGGAAGCATGAATTACGAGGAAACTAGATGCCCTCTTGTAGTTCTGCTAATCCACCAAGTGCAAATCTTACCCTTATTTCTAAAACCATTAAGTAGTTTTGTCTATTCATGAAGTTTATTTATGGGCTCATCCAATATGTACTCTTTATGATTGGCTTCTTTCACTCAACATTCTTACTGGCATTGCTTCTTTTTCATCCATAATCTAATCCATCTATACTTATTGCTCTATTGTATTCCATTGTACAATATCAAATTCTAATGTTGATAAAATTTTGATTGTGTCTAGTTTGGGACATTTATGAATACTCTTCTTGCTTTTAACCTTTTTCATACATGTCTTTGGTGCCAAGATAGTCCATTTATGTTACTAGAGATATAAAAAAAGTGCTAGATGATAGGTCATGCATATGTTCATCTTTAGTATTTACTGCCAAATGGTTTTCTGATTTGGTTTTTACAATTTACATTTCCACCAGCAGTGCATGGAGCTTCATTTGTTCTACATCTTGTCAAACATTTAGTGTGTTTTCCTTTTTTATTTTAGTTATTTTGGTGGCTATGTAACTAAGCTGCATTGAGATAGAATTTGTATTTCCTTGATAACTAATAAATTTGATGTCATTTTATATGTTTACTGGCCATCTGAAGCTAATTTTTCTCAAGTATCGGTTTAAGACTTGCCTTGTTACGTTGCATTGTCTTTTTCTTACTTGCAAATACTCTGTACATTCTGGATAAAAGTATTTGGCCAGACATATATATGAATAGCAATGTCTTTTTTTGCTGTGTAGTTTTCTTTTTTATTTCCTTAATTTTGATAATTATAATTTATTAAATTGAATGTAGTCACACATCATTTTTTCTTTTTTATGACTTTCTGGTTATTTTTATCAATTAATTTAGTATGTATTATGTATGTATGTATGTATGTATGTATGTATGTATGTATGAGATAGGGTTTTAGTCTGTCACCCTGATGAAGTACATTGACATTGTCTTAGCTGACTGTAGCCTCAAACTTCTGGAATTAAGCAGCCCTTTTATCTCAGCCTCCCAGGTAGGTAGGACCACAAGAGCATTCCACCTGCCCAGCTAACTTTTTTTTTTTTTTTTTTTTTTTTTGTAGAGATGAGTTCTCACTACGTTGCTCAGGTTGGTCTTGAGTTTTTTGCCTCAAGCAATTCTTCTGAGGAATCCTCCCAAAGTTCTTGAATTACAGGTATAAGCCATCACACCTGGTCCTGGGTTTCTCTATATTGATCTATAGATCTATTTTTAAAAGTTTTGCCATTATAATACATATGTCTCTCATGTTTTCTTCTAGGAGCCTCATAATTTTAGCTTTTGCATTCAGAACTACAATCATCTATAATCAATTTATGTGTATGGCTTAAGATAACAATCAAGATTTTTCCTGTGTGAGTGTGTGAATGTCCAATAGACTTGGCACCACTAGTGCCAGTGTAAGACGTTATTTACTTACTGCACTGTGAACTTTGTCATTGATAAGTTGGTCTTAGATATTTTGTAAAAGTAGTTTTTAAAAGGATTATATTTTAGTTGAAGGTTAATTGGAAATTTCTGATTGGTAAAATCTAGTTTTGTTTGTTCTATTTTTATTGCATTCTGGCTTTCTCACATAGAAACCTGAAGTGCTGGGACTGACACTATAATGGCCTCCCTGTTAAGATTTTTAAACACTTGTTTTTATTTATTTTAGATATTTATTATGTATCTGTCAGTCTGACTCGTTAGAAGTTAGGTCTATTATTTCTAAGTTCCATTGTGATAACTGTTCACAGCACACTTGCTGTCTTATTTCATGTGTAATTCAGTAGACATCCAGGCAACAAATATTATATTTATGAACCCCTACTATTAATTCTTTTTTGTATAATGATAACTTTGCCACAAGTCAATAAGTCCATTTTAGAAAATTTCTTTCTTTCTTCCTTTTTTTTTTTTTTTTTTGACACAGTCTTGCTTGTTGCCCAGGCTGGAGTGCAGCGGTACAATCAGGACTCCCTGCAATCTCCACCTCCCAGGTTCACGCAATTCTCATACTTCCTCCCCGACAGATGTAACATCCACACTACATTTTAGTTGATATCTTTTCATTTTTTTATGGTGTCAACTAGAAGTGATACTGTGAGCTTAGTGTCAGGGCTCCTAATCACAGGACAAACCTGTTCCCTGAACCAACTCCAGGACAGAGCTGGACATGCCTGGTGTGGTTTGATTAACCCCCATTATGTAATGAAATTATGTTATTTTGTTGTATTCTCGTATTTCCCTAAGAACAGAGGTACTCTTAGAGTTTATTCATGTGTGTATTCAGGAATCTTTGATTTCTCATATATATTCAATTAAATCTTTAATTTTGTGTTGAGAAATTTAAAATTTCTGCAGTTTAATGTGTGAAGTTCTTATGTCAGTGTTCCGTGATTTTCTTTTCTTATTTCTCATATATTTTATTCATCTTTGTCTACCTTTTTTTCTACTAAATTATATGTGTTTAAATTTGTAATACTTTAATAAGGTGGAATTAGCAAATATTAGCCACACCCTAATGTGTACCATTTTACAAATAGTGATGTAACCATTACCTTTTTCAACATAGAAAATATTCAACTACCCTTAAATTTCCTCTTGTTTTTCTATAATTTCTGGTTCCTACACTTTCCCTTCTCACACCACATAAAGTCAACTACTGGTTTTCTTTATGTAACTTTATTTTAGTTTTCATTTTATAGAATTTATACAAGAGGAATTTGTATGTATGAATGTATTTGTTTGTCTTATTTTACTCATCATATATACATGTGAATTTATCCTTGCTGTTGAGCATATCCAGCAGTACCTGATTGTAACGGTGGGTGTTTTTACAGTGAATGAATTTAGAGCAATTTGTTTACTGATTAAGCTGCTGACTGATAGTTGGATTGCTTTCAGTATCTGGGTATTATTTTAAAAGCTGCTACTCATCTTAGATAAATATACAGCTGAGAAACACAATGTTATTATTCTTACAGCAATATGAAGAGCAGCTAAACTGGAAAAGCTGCACTTCAGTCAATTGTCTTTAATACATCAGGTAATTGAAGTTGTAGAATTCTGTGTGTGTGTCAGCTTCTGAGTGAGAGAAAAGGAGGAAAGAAGAAAAAAGAAGATAAAGGGATCCTATATAATTAACCATAATTTATGAGGTGCTGAAATAAATACAGAGAGTGAGAGTCTTATTGGAAAAGGTCCACATAAGATGGAGAGGACAATTTGATGCACCTACACATGGTTATACCTACATATATATATGGTACCTACATATATAATATGGCATTATAAATGCCGGTTTTAAATAAAGAATTACATATATGAGAATAAACATAGTGGAGGGTGTCCAGTGATGAAATATGATAGTGATGCCAAACCCCATCTCCAGCACTTTTCCCCCACTGCTGCACCTGCCTTGATGTGTCCTGAGTGCCCCTTGGCATCCTGAGAACCTCCTGCTGTTCCTGATCTCCCCTGCTATGAGATTTCGTCTCAAACAAAACAATACAGAACTATAGTCAGATGACTCTAGTTAGGTAGATTTTCACTGATAAAATGGGCAGGCCTGATTCCATCAGAGCTGACCTGGAGAAAAAAAAGTTCCATGGTGATTTAGTAGCTTCACCTCTCTCTGGAACTTCCAGCCTGCACTTATTGACAGATGATCTTATGAACACTGGATATTACTAGCCATCACCAAAAATTGTCATCCTCTACATCTAACAGAAAAGTGGTATGTCCGTCTTCAGCTTGTCAACCCTGAATAACAGACAGAGACCTCTAGTCAGGGAATCTCCCTGAGATTTCTGTCCTGGGTTTGATTGGAGAAGACTCGTCAGGCACCCCTGAGTTTCCTCAGGACTCTGATCTTGGTGACCATGGTTGAGGACTTTTCATCTCTGTAAGCGTCAGTCTTCATTTGCTGCGTGTGAGAATAGGTCCTTATATCAAAATGATCTTTTTAAAAATATGTAAAGATGATTAGGAAGCACAGAATTCTAAACTTAGAGAGGTTCACTAGAGAAGCTGTAAGATGATGTCCCATATCCTGACAGGAAATCAGCCTGTGTCCGCACCTGCCTCTGAGGTTTATGCTGATCAGTGAGCCCTGCGCGCCCCCTACAGCTGATTTCCCACAGCGTTCCTGCAGGGAGGTTTGTATCTGGGCCCACACGGATTTTCCCTCACTGTGCTTGGCTCACACAGTAATGAGTGGCTGTATCCTCAATTATCAGACTGTTCATCTGAAGGTACAGTTTGTTTTTGGCATTGTGTCTGGAGATGGTGAATCAGCCCTTTACGGAGTCGGCATAATATATGCCACCAGCAATACTAATACCAGAGACCCACTCCAGGCTGTACCAGCTGCACCTCACACTGAACACCTGCAAACATAGAGACATCTTGGTCAGAAACTGCTAGACACAACCCCTCTGTTTCCGTCATTCATATCCACTCACACTCAATATCTCTAGTTTTTAGAATCAACTTTTAAAATAGTAGCAAGGACAATCCAGCTTAGCCCAGATTCCATTGTGAGTTCTGTGAGTTCAGTCTCTATCATTAAATAGAAACACCTGGGAATCACAGGGCTGGGGCTCCTTTTTTAGAGCTGCAGGGTCAGGGCTGGGCTGGTTTTTATCAGCACAGGGAAGGTCCTATTTTCATGTTTCCTACTTTATAGCAACCTCTGGTGTGGGACATCGGGGAAAGGGGCATTACCCAGATTAGATGGCAGTGTCTTAGGGAGATTAATAGTAATAACATCATTCAGGATAATATAATTTTATATTGCATGATAGTGCCTTAGCATTTATCATTCACCATCTTCATTTTTTACACATCTGTACTATATATACACATACATATATA